CATAACTGGTACTCTCAAACGGTCGGGCAAATACTTTTTGTTTGTGGTGGGCTCGCCAATCGCACCTCCCCCCCCCCCGTCCCTCCTCTTCCCCCCCTCTCGCCCTCTATGGCAGCAGCCTCTGGGCGCTCACCGAACCACTCCACTACCCATTGACAGCCATGGCATACAGGGGAGGAGGAGCCAATGGTGGCATGGCCTACGGGGACAAAGACAAGCCGGTACGTGCTGCAGGGGGGGGGGGGGGGGGGGGGGAGGAGGGCTCACAGAGCTTGCCCACGAGTCGCACACTCACCGACACAAGGGCGCGGGCAAGAGTAGGTGTATGACGGTAGACGGCACCGCAAAGCGATTGTTCGGCGGACGATCGACTTTCATGCACCGACAACGCTGCTTGTGGAGCAACGGCCTTTTCTGCGTGGGCCAGAGGACCTCAAGGGCGTGCAGAAGCCCAAGGAGTGGTCGCTGGAGCTGCTCCCCCGGCGGCCTACTGGAACAACCCGGTGACCTCGCTTTGCTCGCGCTTTGCGCACACCTCGACCAACAAGCAGCCATTTCCGGTCAACGCGGTCTGCTGGACTCCCGAGGGCCGGAGGCTGGTCATGGGGGTGAGCTCGGGCGAGTTCTCGCTGTGGAATGGGCTCTGCTTCAACTTTGAGACGCTGCAGCAGAGTCACGACAAGGCGGTGCGGGCCATGGAGTGGTCGCACGACGAGGACTGGATGATTTCGTGTGACGACGCCGGAGTGGTCAAGTACTGGCAGCCCAACTTTAACAATGTCAAGACGCTGCAGGCGCATGAGTCGCCCATCCAGGACATCTCGTTCTCGCCGACAGACATGAAGTTTGTGACGTGCTCGGACGACACCTCGCTCAAGATCTGGGACTTTAACAACGTGCGCGAGGAGACAAGCCTCTACGGCCACCAGTGGGAGGTCAAGACTGTCCAGTGGCATCCGGAAAAGTGCCTCATTGCCTCGGGCTCCAAGGACCGACTCATTAAGCTGTGGGACGCGCGGACCGGCAAGAGTCTCACCTCGATCCACGCCCACAAGGAGTGCGTCCAGTCTGTCCACTGGAACCCTGTGAACGGCAACTGGCTGCTCTCGGGCTCGCGCGACCAGCTCATCAAGCTCTTCGACATTCGCATGATGCGTGAGGTTCAGAGCTTCCGCGGCCACTCCAAGGAGGTGTGCTCCGTCCGCTGGCACCCTATCCACGAAGAACTGTTTGCTTCCGGCGGCTCGGTTGGTGATGTGCTGTTTTGGCTTGTTGGCCACGACGACGTGCAGGACTCGATCCTCAACGCCCACGAGTCGCAAGTCTTTGCCCTCGACTGGCACCCGATGGGTCACATCCTCACTTCCGGCTCCAACGATCGCTCCGCCAAGTTCTGGTCGCGCCAGCGCATGGGCGACACAGAGCGCGAGCTGTACAACCCGGAGGCCCGCAAGGCCGCTCGCATGATGGCCCTTCACCAGCAGGTCGCCGCTACCCAAGTCTCGTCTACAGAAGTCACCGAGTTCTCTACACCGCTGGCCGGCTTTGGCCTCGACGCCGACACCAAGCTCGCGGTCCCAGCCCTCCCACTCAAGGCAAATCCCGAGGTCGCCGCACAGGTCGCAGAAGCCACACGCAACATCAAGTCATCGCTGGTCAAGCCCGAGAATGGTGCTCGCCGCGGGCCGGAGACCAAGTTTGTCCCGCCAGGCGCCCGCCCGCTGCCGCCTGGCATTCGCGGCCCACCGCGTCCGCCCATGCGTGGCCCGCCTCCATCCATGCGAGGCCCGCCACCGCCCATGCGTGGCCCACCGCCCGGCATGCGCGGCCCGCCGCCGCCCGGCATGCGCGGCCCGCCGCCGCCCGGCATGCGTGGCCCGCCGCCCATGCGCGCCAACATGCGTGGCCCTCCCGGCCCACCACCACCAGGCTACGGCCGTGGCCCGCCTGGTCCGTCTGGCCCGCCTGGTCGCCCGCCCCCGGGCTACGGCCGCGGTCCGCCGCCGCCGGGCCCTCCGCCGCCGGGCATGCACAGCGGCCCTCCGCCTCCAGGCATGCGCGGTCACCCCGGCCCGCCGCCCAGGGGCCGTGGACCGCCGCCGCGGCGATGAGTCTTGGCCGCCACATTGACGTAAACTACCAGAGAGCCAGCAATCACGGGCCATCCATCGCCGGCTGCCCCGATAGCCATCGGCACGAACACCACCGCGCCAACTCGGCTGCGTCATTGCGCCAGCCAGTCAACCCGTGGCAGAGACGGCCCGTCACACCCGACTCTCACAGCCTATGTGGCGGATCGGTGCTTCGGTACGTGGGCTTCAATGCACCTCCCTGACTATTCCCCTCCTCCCCCCCCACCCCCACCCCCCACCCCTACCCGCTTGTCCCCTCGCCCGTTGCCGGCTTGCCCTTGCCTCGGAAGCCGCCGTGTCGGACGATCCGCAGCAGCAAGGCGACCGACAGCGGTGGGAAGCCGGGGGAGGTGCTGGCCGGACAGAGGGCCCTCGCAATGGCAGGTAGACGGCGACAGGCGAAAGTGGCGAGCAACTCACACCCAGGAATGCTACGGGGATGGGTGCGGAGTCGGCGTGGACAGCTGGCGCCGCGGGTAGCCCCGGCGCTCGGGCCATGGCGGCTCGTCTGACGCGCTCGGCGGCCAGTACGTCTGCAGTGTGTTCGGGTGGGCGCGTCAACACAGGTCTGGCCAGCGTGATGCCGGCGTCGCTGGCGTTTGCGCGCCACGCAGGAAGCGGACAGCTCCGTGGGATGGCGACCGAGGCCGGTGGGCCGCTCAGCGCTGTCCGCGGATGGATGCAGAACGCCATCAAGGGCTTTGAGAACTTTGACGAGGGCGGGGCGAGGAAGCGCAAGGCTGGCGACGATGCGGCAAGTAAGGAGAGCGGGAGTGAGCAAAGAGCACGGCCGGAGAAGAAGAAGGGCGAGGATGGCGGAAGTGGCAAGCCGCCGCCGCCGGAGAACGAGCCGTCGACGGCGACGGTGGCGTCGCTGGTGGCGTCGATCGGGCTCTTTGGTGCGGTGCTGTATATGATGCCGAGCCGTGAGGCTGCCGACGGCGGCCCGCGCGAGATGACGTTCCAGGACTTTAAGCGCGACTACCTCTACACCGGCAAGGTCGACCGGCTGGAGGTGATGAACGGCGAACAGGTGCGGGTGTTTGCGTACGACTATGTTCCTGGTGGGGCGGACGGGACAGAGAGCGTGGCGCTCGAGGAGACGCCCGGCACCTCGATAGGGCTGGGCAAGGCGCCCAAGTTTGTGGGTGTTTTCTCGATCGGGTCTGTGGAGACGCTTGAGCGGCAGATGGACGAGGCGCAGTGGGAGCTGGCACTTGCGCCGGAGGACTACGTGCCGATCACGTACAAGTCGGAGATGATGATGTCGTCGATCATGATGGCAGCGCTTCCGACGCTTGTGCTCATCGGGTTCTGGATCTGGGCCATGCGGCGGTTTTCGGGAGGCGGAGCCGGGCCAGGCGGACCGGGCGGCTCGGGACCGGGCTCGCTCCTCTCGATCACCAAGGCCAAGACGACGACGGCCGGGAGCGTGGCGGTCCCGGTCAAGTTTGCAGACGTGGCCGGAATGGACGAGGCCAAGCAGGAGATTGTCGAGTTTGTCGAGTTCCTTAAGCACCCGAGCAAGTTTACGGAGCTCGGCGCCAAGCCGCCCAAGGGCGCGATTCTTGTGGGCCCGCCGGGAACAGGCAAGACGATGCTGGCCAAGGCCATGGCTGGTGAGGCCGACGTGCCATTTTTCTCCATCTCGGGCTCGGACTTTATCGAGATGTTCGTGGGCGTCGGCCCGTCACGGGTCCGCGACCTGTTCAAGCAGGCGCGGGCGACGACGCCGTCAATCATCTTTATCGACGAGATCGACGCGATCGGCAAGAAGCGGTCGTCGGGCGGGTTTTCGTCGGGCGGGTCGGACGAACGCGAGAACACACTCAATCAGCTGTTGGTGGAGATGGACGGATTCGACTCCAAGGACGAGGTGGTGGTGGTAGCGTCGACGAACCGGGTCGACATCCTCGATCCGGCGCTGCTGAGGCCAGGGCGATTCGATCGCCAGATCGCGGTGGACAACCCGGACATTCGCGGGCGCGAGGACATTTTCAAGGTTCACCTGGCCAAGGTCAAGCTCGCCGAGACGGACAGCGCGGCCGTGGACAAGCTCCGCGCGCGGCTTGCCGAGCTCACGCCCGGCTTTTCCGGCGCCGACATTGCCAACGTCGTCAACGAGGCCGCTCTGCTTGCTGGGCGCTACAAGGCGTCGGGTGTCGAGTACTCACACTTTGAGGCGGCCATCGACCGGGTCATTGGCGGCCTCGAGCGGCGGTCGCGAGTGCTCTCGCCCGAGGAAAAGGTACGCGTTGCGTACCACGAGGCCGGCCACGCACTTGTGGGCTGGCTGCTGGAGCACACCGACCCGCTGCTCAAGGTCTCGATTGTTCCGCGCGGGCAGGCTGCACTCGGCTACGCGCAGTACGTGCCCAAGGAGCGGTTCTTGTACGCCGAGGAGGAGCTCCGTGACCGGATCTGTATGATGCTCGGCGGTCGGGTGGCCGAGGAGCTCAAGTTTGGCGTCATCTCGACCGGAGCCCGCGACGACCTTGACAAGGTGACCAAGCTCACCTACTCGCTCATCACCAAGTTTGGCTTTTCGCCGTCGATCGGCCAGCTCTCGTTCCCGGACCAGGGCGAGATGGAGTTTGAAAAGCCGTACTCGGAGGAGACCGCTGCAGCCATCGACCTCGAGGCCCGCGCCATCATCGATGACGCCTACGCCCGTACCAAGGACGTCATCGGCGCGCACATGGACAAGCTCGAGGAAATCGGCAAGCTGCTGATGGAGAAGGAGGTGATGCGGACCGACGACATGCTCGCCATCCTCGGCCCGCGGCCGCACGACCCGCCAGCCGAGCCAGAGACCAAGGCGTCGAGCGCCCCGGCGGCGCCGGCCGACTCGGCCTAGCGCCGCAGCCGGCGCCGGCGCTTGGCTCCGCGCCGGACCGCAGTAGAGGCGCCGGCGCCCGCTACCGGGAGCCGGACCAGGGTCCGCGCGCCGAGCACGAGGTGCTCGATCAGGCCGCGGGTTGTCATGTCGCGGAGTACAAAGTCGAGGTGGAGCGGGAGCTTGGTCAGCGACGGAGTGGCGAGCAGCCTGCGCAGCTCGAGCTCCTTGTACTTTGTCGACTTGATGACCCGCAGCACCTGGCTCACGCTCTTGGTGTACGCCACAATAAACGACGCGCCGTACGGCATGGCCATCCACACCTGATGGACGCCCGACGGAACCACCAGCCCGGCCTTGACCAGCTCTTGCAGCAACACCGGTGCTTGGTCGGCGTCAGCCGCACGGGCGGCAATAGACTGCACCGCGTTGCCATCAAGAAGAGCGTCGAGCCCGCCAGCAGCAGTGGCGATGCGCTGCCAGGCACTCGGCAGTGGCTCTGGCAGCGGGCGAGCGAGCGCAGCAAAGAGAGCCGCCGGCGTCAGCGCCTTGGCGGGCAAAACCAGCGCCACGTTACACACAAAGGCGCGGAATAGGGCAAGCAGCGATGAAGCAGCAGCAGAGGCGGTAGGCGTGGCCGTCGGCGCCGCGGCTGACGCAGACGTGCGCACAAGGACGCGGCGGATCTGATCGAGGTAGTCGTCCATAGCCATGACAAAGACGGTGACGGGCTCCGAGGGAAGCGAGAAGACCCGGACACGGCCCTCACGCTTGGCCGCCTCCAGCTCGCGGTCGACGGTGGTGCGATCACTGAGCATCGAGTAGAGCGCGTGCAGAGTGGTGATGCGCAGGGCCATGCCGGCCTTGCGCTCGAGGGCGGGCTTGGCGCTCTTGGTCACCATGCGGGCGAGGACAACCTCGGTGTCGGACGGGAGGCTTGTCGATGCCACCGCAGCAGCCCATTCATCGTCGGTGAGGAGCGCGGGTGCGGGTGTGGGAGCTGGCGGTGGAGGGGAGGGCGATGGCGGTGACGGCGGCGGCGAGGCTGTGCCCGTCGCCGTGGCTTGTGCAGCTTGTCGCTTGCGCTTGCGCGAGTCGAAGCCGAGCGGCCGGTGGGGGCTGAGGACATGTGGCCAGGTTAGCCGGTGTGTATACGTAGGGGAGTGGAGGGGAGGAGGGAGGGGGGGGGGGGGGGAAGGAGTCAGTTGTTGGGCCAGCACGTGAGCGCCGGAGAGTACGAGTCGCATTGGCACTCGGGTCGCCGCCGTACGCTGAGCTCAGGCGGGCGCCGAGTCGCGGCGCTAAGGCGCGTGGCGATGCAGGGAGCGAGTTAGCCCTGTGATGCTGGTGAGGACATGAGAAGGAGGGGGGGGGGGGGGGGCAGTCACGGTGCAGGCGGATGAGACGAGGATGTGGCCGTGGATGAGTGCGGGTTGTCGCGAGGAAGGATGTCCGGGATCTCTGCGGCGATGCCATAGAGCAGCTGGTTGGTGAAGGTCTTCCAGAACAGCGAGTTGGCCTCTGCGGGTGGGAGCTTGTTGATGTCAGGGATGTTGACAGGCAGCGGAGCAGAGGCGACGGCGGCCGGGATGCGGAGCGGCTCTGGCGGCGGGGTGGGCGGGCGCGGCGGCGGCTTGAGGACGGCCCAATCAAGTGAGGCTTTGAGGGCAATGACCTCGCCTCCAAGACGCTCGACCGAAGCGCCGAGTGAGCGCATGGCGGTGACCTTTGCGCGAGTCGTGTCGGCGACGGAGCGGACGAGGTCGCGGCGGAGAAGGCCCATTTCCTGGACGACGGTGGCCTCGGTGGCTCGGTTGTCGTGATAGCCGGTAAACTCAAAGGTGGGCGAGAGGGCACGGGTGGCCATGAGCGGGGTGGGCGCCGTCTGAGAACCTGAGTTGTCGAGAGGCTTGGCACCAGCAAGCAGGGCGCGGCGCTTAGCATTGGTGTGGATGGCGTCGGACGGCAGGTCGCCGACCTCGTAGACGGCGCGACGGCGCTTGGAAAGCTGGTGCAGGCGGTAGTCACGGAGGCGCTCACGAGCCAAGTCCCACTCGTCGGGAGACGGTTCACGGAGCTCGTCGGGCTTGGCCATCGACGGCGCATCCCACTTGCCAGCGGCGACGAGGCTCTTGCACGCCCCGCACGTCTCATAGTGCTGATTGAGGTGCTGTCTGTGGAGAGCCAGAGACTCAGCATGGCGCATGATCTTGGCGGATGCGGCGCGGGCCGACTTGGGCCGCCAGCCGCAGTCGTCGTGCGGGCAGACGACGGCCTCGGTCGTCTCTTCCGTCCCGTCGTCGCCCGACTCGTCCGAGCCCGACTCAGCCGAGCCGGCAGCCTGGATGCGCTCCTTGACGTCGGCCACCAGCCAGTCGACGTCCTGCGGCGGAATGGGCCGCGAGACGAGCCACGGATAGAGCCGGTCCATCATGTCCCGCTCAAAGTCGCCTTCCTCCACCGCCAGCCAGCAGATTGGACACGACCGCGAGTCGGCGTTGAGCTTGGCAAAGTGGCCCTCGTGCACCGTCGCCGTCCGCATGTGCTTGAACGCCGACTTGCGCCGGTCGCGTTGCGACGCCGCGTTGGACCACCACCCGCACTCGGGATGCGGGCAGAGGCCTGCGTTGACGGCATCCTGGATGGCCGCCTCCACCTCGGCAAGCACCGACGGCGCCAGCGCCGACTTGGCTGCCACCGCAGGCCGCTCTTCGCTCTCGACCGCCCCGGCCTCCACAGCCGCCGCCTCGCTCTCGCCAGTCTCCATGGCAACCACCCCGGTCTCGTTGTCCATGGTGAGTGGAGGTGGGGAGGGTAGGAGGACAGGTGTGTGACTGGGCGTGATAGTGTGTGTCGCTGCGGTCGCAGGCGGGTGCGGTTGTCCCGGGACGGCGGCGGAGGGAGGGAGGGAGGGCCCGCCTGCCCAACTCATGCTACCGCAATCGGCTCGTGCTGGTGGCGAGTCGAAAACCGAGACCGAGTCGGATCGCCGTCTTCGAACAAACGAATGGCGTGTGCGAATGGGATTGGGCGCGGGGCGAATCCAGCTCGCGTTGTTTTTCACAGACATCCTCTCTCTGTCTCAATCACAATGGTAGGTGACCGCTCCGAGGGTGCTCCGGGAAGACAAGGGTGCAGAGCCGGGTGAGGACCAGGAAGCGCACCACATTCGCTTGCACCACGAGGATGTGTATGCTTGCGGTAGAATACGTTGGGGTCCTTGCGCGTGGTCCCTGGCCCTTGGGTGTCTGTGTTGGATGCGGTGCTGTCAGACGCTGGCGATATTTTCGTCCGACTCGGACAGTCTGCACCGCCTCTAGCCGCACCTCTTGGCACTGCAACAGCCGTGCAAGCTCGGGCTCGGGCGCCGGGACGTGCGCTGTAGCCCCGTGCGCAGCTGCTGATCGGGTGCAGGCCAGCAGGCCACTGGGCGGCAAGGTGGCGTCGCACACAGAGTGTGTGATGCTGTGTTTTTGAATGAGCGAGTCGCAGCAGCAGCAGCTCGGCAAGGGTGACGGAGCGTGTGTGTGCAGAGAACGAGACTCACCAGCGAGCAACTTTGTCCTCCCACCCATCTCTTGCCGTACCACAGTCGTGCGTCGAGCCTGATAACTTCCAGCACATTCTCCGTGTCCTCAACACCAACGTTGACGGCAAGCGCAAGATCGTCTACGCGCTGACTGCCATCAAGGGTGTGGGCCGCCGGTTCTCCACCATGGTGTGCAAGAAGGCCGACATCGACACCACCAAGCGCGCCGGTGAGCTGACGCCCGAGGAGGTCGAGAAGGTTGTGGACATCATCACCGACCCCATGAAGTTCAACATCCCCGAGTACTTCTTCAACCGCCAGCGCGACTTTGCCACCGGCAAGACCATGCAGCTGTACTCGAACAACGTCGACATGAAGCTCCGTGAGGACCTCGAGCGCCTCCGCAAGATCCGCGCCCACCGTGGTATCCGCCACCTGCTCGGCATCCCGGTCCGTGGCCAGCACACCAAGACCACCGGCCGCCACGGCCGCGTCGTCGCCATGCGCAAGTAGGCATCATAAACCGAAAACAAAAGAACGTCTTTGCAATGCTACCTTGTCTTTATCGTCACATCGACGCCAGCCAGCGACTCGTCCGCGTCCTGCGAGACGGTTGCAAAAAAGGCGAGCAGGACAGAGATGAGCCGCGACGGCGCCAGCGACGCGTCGCGCGCCGACTGCATCGGCATGGTCACCACCGCCAGCTCGCCGCCTCCGACCGGTGGGCGCGCCGCACCTGGGCTTGCGTCGGCGGCCATCGTCCGCACGCTCTCGCCGCCCGAGCTGGCAGTCACCGACGCCGCGCCCGGCGCCGGATGCGCGGCGGCGTGCCGCGGCGGAATGAGCTCGTCGCTGCCCCACAGCAGCGGCTCGACCGCCAGCGTCAGGAGCCGGCCCGTTGCCATCCGCAACGAGAGCGAGCGGGCAGCAAAGCCGAGGCCGAGCCAACCGAGCACGCCCGGCGCCACCCGTGCATCCTCAATCAGCAGACCGTCGAGCGCAGAGAGCGGGATCTGCGAAGACTCGCCATCCGAGCTCACCGCAGGCACAATGACCGTGTCGCGCGCCTTGTCGAACGACCACACCCGCGCCTGCCGCGGAATGAGCCACCGCGCCAGCGCCAGCGCCGTCGCCCCAATCGCTGCCACACTCACGCCCGCCGCAGCCATCACCCGTGCCTGCCGAACTTCACCCGCGCCCGCCGCAACCATGCTGCTGGTTGGCAACCACGGGCGGGCCCAGGTGAGGCAGGCGAGCCAGGCGCCGCCTGCGCCGGCGGCCACCACGCCCACCGACGCCGCAGCAAGCGCCATCTGGCCCGCAGGCGTCTCCAACGCCCGCGGGTGGACCTCAAGTCGCAGCTGGACAGGTAAGTGCGACGCGTCGAGCCGCATACCAACGCCGTGGGGGAGGGCGAAGGGGTGGAGTGTGAGGAAGCTCGGGCTGTCGGCCGGGGAGAGGGGGGGACACGCGGGCACTCGTCCCTGACGCAACTGGGTTGGACCAGAGGCAGCAGCAGACCAACGAGGCAGAGGACGAGGAGAGAGCAGCTCACGCACATACATACGTAGCTCTGTACATCATGGCAGCGCGCGAGACAGTGGTGGTCAAGTCCATCCAGATGACTGACGAGCAGCGTGACTACGCCATCGACTGCGCAACCAACGCCCTCATTGTACGGAGCGTCAGAGGGGGAGGCAGGGAGGGGCGGGGGGGGGGAGGGGGGGAGGGGAGGGGGGAAGTAGGAATGGAGGGGGAAGGAAGGGGGGGAGGGAGGGAGGCGCAGCAGTGCTGAGGCAGGTTGTGTGCACGAGCCCGGTGGGAGAGACTGACGGTGGCGGCGACGGGGGGAAACGGGCGGGAAACGCGGGGCGGGCGACGGACAGGACTTTAACAACGAGCATGACATGGCGTCGTCGATCAAGTACAAGTTTGACGACTTTTACGCGCCGACCTGGCACTGCATTGTCGGCCGCAACTTTGGCTCCCATGTCACCCACGAGGTTGACCACTTTATCTACTTTTACATCGGACAGATGGGCTTCCTCCTGTTCAAGACCGGAAGCTAGAGCCGAGTAAAGCCCGCAACCGCCCGCTGCATCTTGACCAGCGCCGTAGCCCTCAGCCGCCATGCATAGTACTGCTTCGCGAGCTCATACTTGCCCTCGTCAGCCTCGAGCGTCCGCCGATCGTACGGCGCCCGCCCAGTGTGCTGCCAGGCGAGCGTGCCGTAGAGTCGCTCGCCGAGCGACAGTTTGGCCCGCCACGCCCTCCGCCGGCCCGCGACCTCCTCCAGCAGCGGAGCAGTCTCGCGATACGTCTTCCATCCCCGCCACACAGCCTGGATTCGGGCTGCGGCTTGGCTCCGCGTCGCCCTAGCCTGCGCAGCCGCCCGCCAGCGGGCCCACGCGCGAGTGACCACCCGCGAAGCAACCTGCGCCGAGACCTGTGCGCCCGCTCGCGCCACGGCCACCTTGGCCGCGGTCGACGACGTCAGCCTCGGCGCCCGCGACCGGTTTGTTGGTGATGGTGCCAGCTGCCGCCGTGCTGCCCGCCGCGCCAGCGCCCGCGCTACGCCTGGAAACGCTGCCGACGGCGACGCCGGCAGCGCAGGCGCCGCCGACGACTTTGGCGCGCTCGCCACTCCTGCACCTACGCCGGCACCGCCCCGGTCCTGCCCGCTCGCGTTGCGGCTGCTCTCGAGCGCAGCAAGTGGAAGCGGTGCAAGGACGCTTCGCGGAAGAGCTACTGTGTCGAGGCATGCCCGCGGCTCGCTGTCGAGCACCTCGGTCAGCTGCGCGTACAGTGCGCCGAGGACCGAGGCGTGGCGCTCGATCTCGGCTGCGATGGCGGCCTCGATGGCGGCAACGGCCGCGGCACGGTCGCTGGCGGCAGCCATCCTGCTGGCGTTGCCGCTGCCGTCGGCGGTGCATGCACCTCCTAGCGCTGTCGCCGCAGGCCTTTCGCCCGCAGCGTGGCCCACTGCTCTCTGCATATGGCGGCGAGTCGAGTGGCCGGTGGCGTGGCGCCTGTGCCACGCGCCGAGCGCCCGCCAGGGGCAAGCCTCCTTGCGCTGCCTGCAGAGGTTCTGGTTGTTGTGATGGACGCGCTTCCGCTGCAGTCTGTCCTGGCGCTCCGTGCGACGTCGCGGCGACTGCACGAGGTAGTCCCGTTGGCGTCGCGGTGGTGGCGCGGCCCTGCGCTTGTCCTGGCGCCTGCCGCCGGTGCGGCCAGCCCGGCTTCCGTCGCCGCCGTCCTCGCCAACCGCCTTCCTGCCCGTCACCTCGATGTACTGCGGCTAGCGCCAGCCAAGCAAGTCGCGCTTGGGCATGCGCTGGATGACGTTGGCGTAGTCCTTGGCCGGCTCCGTAAGCTGGCTGTGTGCGAGCCGGCCGCCGCCGCGTGGGCGGCTGCCCAAGGCTCCGTCCTCGACCTCCACGTCGCCCAGCTGGCGATGAAGGCGGAGCGGAGGTGGGGAGACGAGCTGCTGAGTGACGCCACCCACTCGCTGGTGGTCTCGTCTGGACTGGCGCGGGCGACCATGTACGGATATCCGCGGCTCGACGACTTGGTAGTGGCGGCGGGCAGTCTGGTGCGGCTCGATTTGTCCGGTGTCATCCTCGGCGTCGGGCTCGCCTCGGACCTCTGCCCGTCGTTCACCGTCCTGAAAAGTCTTACTCTCAACATCGTGAGACTTACAGAACTTGTGGGGCTTGTGGTTCCGCGAACGCCGGCCCTCTCTGTCTTGCGCGTTGCCGGCAAGCTTGTGGCGTCACACAAAGACGACGACATGGCGCTGATCCTAGCGTGGGTGGCGGCCGAAGACGCCAAGTCCGGCGGGCAAGGACTGCGACAGCTAGAGGTCAACTCGAGCAAGCATGTGAGCTGGAGCGCCGTTCGTGCGCTCATGATTGGCATGCCCCAGCTTCGCGTCGTCGGCATGCGGGATGTCCACTCGACGATGGACGGCAACGCGCGATGCATCGAGGTTGCTGATAACAGCGAGCTTGCGAGCTTGGATCTCTCGTTCAACAAGCTCCTCCAGCATTGGCGACAGAACGTTGTGCTTGAAGGCTTGGTGCGACTCGACGTGTCGTACTGCTCGTTGCCGCGGGTGGCGCTGATCATGGTGCTCGAGGCGACGCCTGCGCTCGAAGCGCTCGAGGCGCGTGGCGAGTTTGCGGTCTCGGACTCGCTGGTCGACGATCTGAGTGATGTGTGGCAGAGCTCGCGGCTGCGGTACGTGGACGTTTCTGGGCGCGGTGGACGGATAACGGTCCGTGGGCTAGTTGCATGGCTGGAGCAGCTGGCGCAGATCAAGGTGCTTGACGTGCGCGGGCATGCCAAGCTGATGCGGCACGACGAGCTGGCGGACGCGCTGCGGGAAGAGTTTCCGCAAGTTGTAGTGAGGCTCGGGGGCAGCGGGGAGCGGAAGCATTTATCGTCTTGCTAGCACCGCTCGAAGATCTTGTACAAGTTCTCTAGCGCAGCGATCTGGAGAACGGTACCGTCGGTGGCAAAGCGCGACGGCGGGAAAACGATGAGCGAAGCGCGGGGAAGAGGACGTGCTCGATGGCCCATGCTAGGGTCGCTTGCGAGCCGGGCATGACGGCCTCGTCGAGGTGCTGCTCGGGCTTGATGGCGTAGAGCTGCGCAAGGGCGGTGAGAAAGGTGGCAAAGCAGGGAAGCTCGGCCGACCAGTCGACACTGTTGCCGAGCTGGAGGAGGAAGGCCGGGACGGCCCACATGGGCGGAAGAACCGAGGGGAGGAGCTGCGGAAGAGCGACGAGCGCGGCAGCGTCGGTGTCAATGACGACGCCAAAGTACTCTTCGAGCATCTCGGCCTTGGAAACGAGAAAGTCGGCGGTAGCAAGGGCGAGGACGTCCTTGGGCCCGTCGTCGGGCGACCAGCCTGAGGCGCGGTCGTCGAGGGCGATAGTGACGAGGTCGGCGAGCTTTGGCTTGTTGGAAAAGACAAAGCGCGGAAAGGCACCAAAGCCAGCAAGGCCGAGCTGGTAGTAGAGCGCCTGGCTGAGCTTGGGCAGGTCGAGGAGGTAGAGCTTGGTTTCGTGCTGGACGAGCGCGTATGAGGCGTCGACGCAGCCGACAAACTTGTGACGGCGAAAGACGGCTGAGAGCCCGGCGTGCTCGTCGGCCATGACTTCCTCGCAGAGAGAAAGGACCGACATGAGGACGATCGACGGTGGCGGCGCCAAGATGCGCTTGCCACTAGCATTACTCGATGCAGGCGCCCGCGGCGCGGCGGGCGCCTTGGCCTTTTGGGCGGCAGACGTCTTGGCCCGCTTGGGCGGCGACGGAGACGGCGCGCGCGCCGAGCGCGCAGCCGGCCGCGGCGGTGACGGCGAGCGGCGACGCTTGCGGGGAGCCGGCTGCTGGTTGGACTCTTCCGGCGGAGGCGACGGGGCGCGGCGAAGGGTACCTGAACGGCGGGAGGACGAGAGCGGTGCTGGATCGGCGGCGCGGGCAGTGCCCGGCGGCGTCGGTCGCGCGTCTTCGGGTGTGGTCTCGGGCGAGGCAAAGAGGACATTCGGCTGGATGAGCTCGGCGGGCGTCGGGGCGTAAGGCGCGGTGGAGCCGGATGATGTCACGGCTGGCGGCTCTGGCTGCGACTTGTGGACAAAGGCGTCCATGGTCTGCGAGCGATGGTCAACGCGAACCATGTGCTGCGGGGCGAGCTTGCTCGACGACGACGAGACGCGGCCGGCCGAGACCGGCTTGAGAGCCTCAAGGTCAGAAGCGGGGGCAGCCGCGGGCTGCTTCGGTGCGACGTCCGCAGCTGCTTGCGAAAAGGTTGGAAGCACAGCCTGCGAGTAAAAGGTGCGCGAGGCGTTGGCGTCGAGGAGGGCGGCGCGAATAGCGTCGGTGATGAGCGACACGATCTCGTCTTCGTGCATAAAGTGGACCTGCTTCTTGGTCGGGTGGACGTTGACGTCGACGGTCTCAGGTGGAAGCGCAATGTCGAGGTAGACAAATGGGTGGGCCTTTTTGGGCAGGTACTCGGAGAAGAGGGCTTTGATGGCCTTGCGGACCGAGGGCACATCGACGGAGCGCGAGTTGACAAACAGGACCGAGACCTCTTTCTTGGACGAGTAGTTTGCGTTGGAGACAAAGCCTGCAACCGAGGCGCCGTACTCGTTGGCGGCCGGCACGTCGATGCGGAGAAGCTCGCGCGAGAGCTCTGTGCCGTACAGCAGGGCGATGTTGTCCTTGACCGAGGCGCCGGTCTGGGTGTTGAGGACGGCGCGGGTGTCGCCAAACTTCTTGAGTGAGAAGGCAACGCCTGCGTTGCGGAGCGCGTAGCGGGTGAGCACGTCCAGGACTCTGTTGAACTCTTCCGAAGTCGACTTGAGGGCCTTCCGCCGCGTTTTGACGTTGTAGAACAAGTCCTCGACCTTGATCGTCGTCCCGGTGTTGCCGGCGGTCGGCTTGGCCTTGCCCAGCAGCTTGCCGTCGGCAAACGAGCCAGCAAACGCGCACTGGGCCTCGGGCGTCTTGGAGGTGATGGTCACGTGTGCCACGTGCGAGATCGAGGCCAGCGCCTCGCCGCGAAAGCCAAAGGTGCCGATCGACTTGAGGTCGTCGAAGGTGGTGAGCTTCGAGGTGGCGAACCGCTGGCAGACGAGCGGAAAGTCGTCGAGCCGGATGCCGTGACCGTTGTCGGTGATCTGTAGGACCTTGAGCCCGCCGCCCTTAACCACCACAGAGATGGAGGACGAGCCTGCATCGAGGGCGTTCTCCACAAGCTCTTTGAGCGCGTTGGCCGGCCGCTCGATGACCTCGCCGGCGGCAATGCGGTCGACGACGGTCTTGTCGAGCGCCTGAATGGGCCTATGCTCCAGAGTGTCTGTCTCACCTGCACCGGAAGACGCCGCCATGGTGGGCAAAGGGAGGGGTGGGGGAAGGGGGGGGTGGGGTGGTTGGGTGTGTTGATTCTGACCGTGAACGGAAAAAGGTCGTGTTTCTGTGTGGCGGGGCGAGGTGGTGTGCGGGAGGGAAAGTTGGACGAGAACGTTCGTACGAAGCAAGTTGGTCGAGCGGCGAAGGGAAGAGGGGACACGGCGGGGACCGGCGGGGATGGACAAGAGCACACCCATCTTCCAAACTCAAACTATGGTACGCTTGGCATAGCTTGCAACTCTCAACGAGCATGTGGGGGGAAGGGGGAGAAAGGCCGAACGATGCGTCGCGGGGGGGGGGGAGGGGGGTGGTCGGTCGCTTTGGCGCCTCGTGTGGCTTGGATCGCGCGAAGAGTGCGAGGGTGTGAGACGCCGGTGCTGTGGACGCAGGACGAGAGAGATTGAGTGGAGCACAGGGCTAGGGCTATCACAAGCAAAGTGCCTCGCTTTCTTTGCTGTGTATGCGCGCAAAGGGTGAACTAGCGTGTTTGGGGGGGAGGAAGGGTGGGAGAGGGCCGCAAAGGAGGGTAGATTTCTGGCGCGGACCAGCGCGAAAGGTCGCGTCGGCACCGTATGGGGAAGGAGATAGGCGGCGGTTGCATGGGTGAAGTGAGCCAAGGCACGTCCATACGTTGCCTCTCGGGCCAGGTCTGCGAGGGTGGTGAGCGCATGTTGTGGCGGGGTGTGCAGGCGAGGCGCGGGTCTGTGAGGGTGGGGCGATAATCCTCGAGTTTTTTGCGGGTGCGCAGGAGGATGGGACGGAGAAGGGCACGCGCGACTCACGAGGCAGGCTCGGGTGGTGGATGTATTATGGTGGGAGGATAGGCGAGCTTTGGACTGCAACCTGTGCAGATTCTTGGCGACCAGGGCTCTGAGGAGCGCGGGTCGCTCGCGCGGCTGTCGTCGTTTGTGGGCGCGATTGCGATTGGCGACCTCGTCAAGACGACGCTCGGCCCCAAGGGTATGGACAAGATCCTGCAGTCTGAAGGGATGGGCGCATCGCAGCGCGGTTCGATCACGGTGACGAACGACGGAGCGACGATTCTCAAGTCTGTCCTGGTGGACAACCCTGCTGCGAAGATTCTCATTGAGATCTCCAAGGTGCAGGACGATGTTGTGGGCGACGGGACGACGTCTGTGTGCGTGCTTGCGTCGCGGCTGCTGCGCGAGGCGGAGCAGCTTGTTAACCAGCGGATCCACCCGCAGGTGATCATCCAAGGCTTCCGCAAGGCTGCGGAGGTGGCGAAGGACGCGCTCGTGGAGTTTGCGAACCTGCGCGACGCTGAGGACACCGACGGTGTGCGCAACGACTTGCTCAACATTGCGCGGACGACGCTCTCGTCCAAGGTTGTCTTCCACGACAAGAACTTTTTCGCGGAGATGTGCGTGGATGCTGTGATGCGGCTGCGCGGTTCGACGGACCTGGAGGCGATCCAGATCATCAAGAAGACTGGCGGCTCTCTGCGTGAGTCGTTCCTTGCCGAGGGCTTTATTCTCGAGAAGAAGATTGGTGTCGGCCAGCCGAAGCGGATCGAGAACGCTCGGATTATGGTGGCGAACACGGCCATGGACACGGACAAGGTCAAGATCTTCTCGACCCGCGTCCGCGTGGACGAGTCTGCCAAGGTTGCCGAGATTGAGGCTGCCGAGAAGGACAAGATGCGTGCCAAGGTGGAGAAGATCCTCGCGCACGACATCAACGTCTTTATCAACCGCCAGCTCATCTACAACTACCCGGAGGAGATCTTTGCCGACAACGGAGTGATGGCCATTGAGCACGCCGACTTTGACGGCATCGAGCGGCTGGCCATGGTGACCGGCGCCGAGATTGTGTCGACGTTTGACCATCCGGACAAGGTGACGCTTGGCTCGTGCGACCTCATTGAGGAGATTCTCATTGGCGAGTCCAAGATGATCCGGTTCTCGGGCGTCGCCGAGGGCGCTGCCTGCACCATTGTGCTCCGCGGCGCGTCCAAGCAGCTTCTGGATGAGGCCGAGCGCTCGCTCCATGACGCGCTCTGCGTCCTCTCGCAGGCCATCGGCGAGCCGCGCACCATCTACGGTGGCGGTGCATCCGAAATCCACATGGCTGCCGCCGTCGAGGCTGCCGCCTCGGTCCAGGGTGACAAGCAGGCGCTCGCCATGGAGGCCTTTGCGCGCGCGCTCCGCCAGATGCCCACCATCCTGGCCGACAACGCCGGCTACGACTCGGCCCAGCTTGTCGCCGAGCTCAAGGCTGCCCACGCCTCGGGCTCCTCCTCGGCTTGCCTCGACATGTACAACGGGTGCATCGGCGACGCCATCGACCTCGGCGTCCTCGAGTCGTACAAGGTCAAGTCCTCGGTCGTGTCCTCGGCCGCCGAGGCTGCCGAGATGATTCTCCGTGTCGACGACGTCATCCGCCAGCCGGTTCGCCAGCGTGCCCAGGAGTAAGTATCCGTATGCTGTCGCGCTAAACCATTGTTCGTGTCTTTGTGTCTGTCTCTGTTTACGGGGTGGGGGGGAGCGACTACTCGGCGGCTTCCTCGCGCTGCTGGCGGATGGCCGGGATGTTCTCAAAGAGGCGCTGTTGAGAATTGAGAAAAGGCAGGAAGGAGGCGGGGAGTGGTGAGTGCGAGAGAGAGAAGGGGCGCAAGGGGGAGGGGAGGTTACAAGGGAGGTGGGGAGGGGGGGGGGAGAGGGGGAGGAGGGGGGGGGAAGAGGAGGATGCGGGCTGGCGGGGGGGGAGGAGGGGGGGTGGGGAGGGAGGGATGGGGGGAGAGGAATAGCGACGCCGCGGCAAGGGCGAGCAAGTACAGGGGTCCTAGGACAAGGTGTCCACATGGTGCGTAGCGTGGCGCGTGCAACGGGAGCACGGGCAGGGCTGGAGGCCTGGAGGAAGGGGGGGGTGGGGGCAGGGACGGCGGGAGCAAATTTGTGACGCGGCCAGGGGGAGGGCGGGGGAGGCAAGGCAGCAGAGGCACGTACATCCTTGTTCTTGCCCCAGTAGAAGCCGTCGATGACGTTGCCAAGGACCATCTCGGTGGCAATGGCGCCGCCGGCAATGAGGACAGCAAAGGTGGAGGTGCGCTTGAGGAGGGTGCGGTAGACGGTGGACGCGAGCTTGGGATCCATGTTGAGAGGTCGGAGGCGAGTGTAGCGGGTCGTCGGTGGCGAGTCGTTGGCCGAGCGGGCCGCGTGTGGGTGGGGAGTGGAGGTCGTTCTCCGTCAGCGGCGGACGGGCGGAGGGCAGACGAAGGAAGTAGAGCTGGCGGGCCTGGGCCCGTGCGAGACACCTGACGTTGCTTGGGGCGGCTTGATACAGCAGCTGGGCGAGCAAGATGGACTGGGGCCAGGCGCGTAGCAGGGTCAGCCGCGGTGTCCACACGGCGCTGTCGCTTGACGGGGCCGGCGACGGGCCCGGGGCGTACCGCGAGTACTTGCGGACGCTCAGCGACATTGCGGTGCTGCTGAGCGATGCCGAGGCGCATGTGGGCGCGACACCGGTGGACGAGCGCGGAGCGACGCTCAAGCTTGTGGAACAGCTTATGTTTTTCGGCGGACAGTGCATGGAGCGGGTGCAGGCGCTCGCCCTGCCGCACCTGACGGCGCTGCCGCACGTGCCACGGCCTGCCGCACCTCGCCATGCTTCGTCGACCGTGGGTGCAGGCACGCCGCGAGTGGTGGTTCCGAGCGCCGGGCCGGCAATGATGGCAACAGTGGTGACTCCGCCGGGTGGCGGCGGACGGGCTGCTGCTGCGGGCTTGACGGTCAACGAGCACCACGCGATCATGTTGCCGGTGCTCCAGGCGCAGGCGCAGAACGAGGCGATGATGGCGCGGCTGCGGCGGCGGACGGGTGGGCGCGGCGGCGATCGGTACCTGCAGACAATGCGCAAGGCGGCGGAGAACATGGCCATTGCGCGGAAGAAGCAGGAGCTGCTCACGGCAGTCTTGTTCAACCGCAAGAAGCAGGCCGAGGCTGCGGCGCTTGCCGAGGCCGACGCCTCGATTCCCGGGCAGATGCAGCTGTTTTTCGGCGAAGATCATCCACAGTGGCGGCAGTTCCAGCAGTGGAAGCAGTTCCAGCACTGGAAAGCGAGCCAGGGAGAGGCCGGGGGCGCGAGCGGCAGCGCGCCGAGCACGCCAACGCAGGGCATTGTGAGCACAGCACAGGAGCCAGCGCTACCGTCGCCGTCGTACAAGGCCGATCGCAACAACCCGTACGCCGACGAAGACGCCCAGTGGTGCGAGGAGCTGAGTTCTGCTGGAGACGACGTGCTCCTCGTCCACACCCACCTCGCACGGGTTTTGCACCTCGCTGACCATCCGCTCGGCAAGATGCTTGCCGAGTTCTCGACGCAATTTGCGGCCAAGTACGGAGCGACCAAAAGCAGCGGAGCGCATGCGACAAGCGAAAGCGAGCAGGCAAGCGAGGCGAGCTTGCCGCAGGCGGTGACCACGATCCAGTCGTTCGTCGCGCAGTTTTGCGAGTCAATCCTGGAAGCGTATCCCGAGGTGTCGGGTGTGTCGTGCGGTGCGGACCAGGTCCAGCTGACAGTGGAGGAGGCCGTGTTTCCGGAAGTGTACGCGCCGCTCTTCCGGCTGTACGTGAGCGCGTCTGCTGAGCGTGACACTGTGTTTCGGCTCAAGCTCACAACGCAGCTCAATGAGCTGCCGCCGTCGGCCTTTGGCATTGCGCCGCGGTTCTGGCTTGTGGGCGGCGGCGAGGGAGTGGGCCCCGAGTCGCTGGCACCGGAGCAGGTGCAGAGCGGGATGCTCGCATCGTACGCCAAAGTCATCTCGCAGTTCCGCCTAGTCTCGGAGGCGCGGTCGCCAGGGGAAAAGCTGATGGGCCTCGTCAAGGCCTCGCAGGTCATCTGCACCACGGTGGAGGACTACTACCGCACACATCCGCGCGACGATGTCGACGGAGCGTCGCTGGCTGTCGGAGCTGAGGATCTGCTTCCTCTCTTCTCGTACCTCCTCATCCACGCGGCCATCCGCGACGTGTGGGCCATGTCGGCCTTTCTCACCGACTTTATCAACGAGTTTTACTGCATGGGCGAGGAGGGCTACGCGCTTGCGACAACCCAGACTGCGCTCGAGTACATCGACGGGTTTGGCGCGTGACTGGCTTTGCGCCATCAGCTGGACATGCTGCGGAGGGCACGGTAGGCGAGGAGGTGTGCGCCACGGAGGCCGACGTCCTCGTTCATGACAACGTAGACGGGAACCTTGCGAAGGAGCGGTGAGAGGCGGCCCTTGTCGTAGTAGGCAGCCATAAACTCGGTCTCGCCGCGAATGCGGTTGATGTTCTTGGGCGCAAGGCCGCCGGCAACGTACAGGCCGCCGTACGGGAGCCACTTGAGGGCGGCAACGCCGACCTCGGAGCCGTAGGCCGAGAACAGGATGTCTAGCGCCCGTGAGCAGAGCTCGTCGCCCTCGGCGGCGGCCTCGGCAATAAGCGCACCGCGCTGGGCGTCGGCGGCAAGAATCCGCGCGTCGGCCGCGTCGCACACCGCGTGCGGAAACTTGGCCCGGAGAAAGTCGTAGATGTTGGCGAGGCCCGGGCCCGAGACCACGCGTTCGACCGAGATGCGGTTCTTCTCCGAGAAGCGGTCCTTGAGAAACGCCAGCATCTCGAGCTCGAGCTCATTGCGCGGCGCAAACTCGGCGTGCCCGCCCTCGGACGGAAAGGCGACATAGTCTGCGTCGGGGCCCGCCGCCGCCAGAAAGCACTCGCCGAGGCCGGTGCCGGCGCCGACGCACGCGATGGGCGCGCCCGGGCGCGGCGCCACGTCCTGCAACGTCAGCAGGTCACTGTCACCGAGCGTGAGCAGGCCGTAGCCGAGCGCCAGAAAGTCGTTAGCAAGCAGCACTTTGGCGATGCCCAGCTCAGTCTCGAGCACATCCTCGGCAAAGCACCACGACTCGAGATTGGAGAGCACGGCCCGGCCGTCGTCGACCGGCCCGGCCACCGCCAGCGCTGCCACCGCCACCGAGCTTGGGTCAACCTCGGCGGCAGCCATAAACTTGCGCACCACGTCGACAAACGAGGTATGGTCCTCGTTGGCGTACTTGCTGAGGTAGACCTGTTCGCCAGGCGGAGACTGCCCTCGTTGCGGCGACGAGGTCGCGTCCGCCACTGCATACAGCACGAGCCTTGTGTTGGTTCCGCCGATGTCACCCGCGAGAATATGCATAGGTCCCGACGACATGGTGGTCCCCAAGTGCAGCCAAGCTCACTGACACGACCAAGGCGGGAAGCGGCAGAGAGGTTGTACAATCTCGCGAGTTGCGTCCACACGGACTGCAGGTGTCACGCAATGGCTGGCACGCCACTTTCGCAGCGGCCATCATCAACCGTTAAACGGTACCGATGCCAGCGCTGACCACACTGGCTGCGAGAGGCGGCTGCTCTTTGGTTGTGGGTGAGCAGTGCAGCGGCAACGATAAGAGCATAGAGCCACGCGATGGCAAGGGAAGCTCAGGGGGGGTATAGAGCCACGCGAGGCCCGCTACGTTGCGAAAACAGAGCTATATACTTATATAAATTCAAATCTATAAAAATATGATTATTTGAACTTAAATTGGTGATTTATATATTTTGTCTGTTTTACAGTGTAGTTTATATATATGTATTATTTTTGTTGTTTTTGTATGCAATTTAGATGATTTTTCAATTTGTTCAAGAATGATGCACATGCTCCGAGCATACGGAGTCTGCCAGATCGGGTCGGCTCACCTCGCCTTGCCCTCCTTGTGCGCCTTCACAATTCCTTTCGCTCCTCGACTTGGCCACGCCTCTCTACGGCACTCACGTGTACCCCCTCTGTGTGCTATTCACTTTGCGCGCTGCAATCTCGCGTGTCGCGCGGACGCGGTCACTCGACTACCACTCTCCACCATCCACGCCTACCGTTCACAGGCGTTGACATGGCCTCCTGCGAGCCACGCTGGCCACAATACTACTCCTCATTCACGCTTGCAGTCGCCGCTGTTGCTGTCGGTGCCTCGGTCTGCGTCTCCGCTCCGCACCTGCACCCGCACCCGAGCCCGCACCCGAGCCCGAACCCGCACCCGAGCCCGAACCCGAGCCCGAGCCCGAGCCCGAGCCCGAGCCCGAGCCCGAGCCCGCCGCTTGCCTGCATCCGGCGATTGCGGTACATCTCAGATGATGGCCGCTGTGCGTTTGTTGATGAGGACACCAACACCTCATTCCTCTGTCCCGGGCTGCCGCGACGCCGGCTTTCCGCTCACCGACCTCCCGGCCAATCCCATCGCGCGCGACTCCCATCGCGCGCGACGACTACGAGTCGAGTACCATCTTTGACGTCTCAGCCATGATCGGGCCGCGCGTTGCCGGTCTTGGTGACGGTGCCGCGCTGAGCGGACCGGCCCCGGCGCAGCTACGCGAACTCGAGGCTCGCAGAGGATGAGGCGTTTGAAGATACCAATCCCGGTGGTAATATTACGGCCATTGGGGCGAGCGCTGCGGCATGTGAGGCTTTTATCGCCACCTATCTTGTTCCAGAGTTTGGAATCTATCCTGATCAGCTCGTCCGTGACGTTGTTGCTCTCTTTCGCATCGTCCTCGTCGACAAGCTCGCATACAACGGCCAGTGGCGATCGGCACTTCCAGACTACCTTCACTTTACGCTCTATCTGTCTGTCGCGCCACACGATGCTGCCTATGTCCGCAAGGTCATCCATCACGAGTGGTTCCACATGGTCGACTTTGCTGAGTTTGGCAACGACCACATTGTCGATCCCGAGTGGCATGCCTGTCTCCTTGCGCCCGATGTGTACTCGCCGCATGGCGGCGAGGGCATGCGCGGTGGAACTGCTGGTATCTGGGACCTAGACATTGACCCGGTGCCCTCCACTCGCAACCCGGGCTTTGTCACCGCTTACGCCTCCTCCGCTGCCATCGAGGACAAGGCCGAGGTATGGGCCGCCCTCGTCTGCTTCCGCCCGGCTTCGCTCGATGCTCTCCTCGGCTCGGACCCCGTCCTTGCCTCCAAGGCTGCGCTCCTCCGCGCCCGCGTCGCCGGTCTCACTCCGACCATGGGCCCCGCCTGGTTCGCCGCGCTCGGTGCCTTGCGTGAGCGCGCGTTCGACGAAGACGGTCGTCACTGGCAGCCCGTTCCGAACCGTCCGCCAAACACTCCGCCGTACTTTGTGCATGCGCTGACGCGCGCAAAGACATACAACCCGCCGCTGTAGTGGCATTCATTCGCCCTCGACGTGTCGCGCCACAAGCGCCGCCAGCGATGGGTTAGGAATCTTGCCGCTCCACTGTCGGCCCTGCTTGCCCTTAAAGTTGAGATCGACTGCCGACACCACTGTGATGCGGGTGCCATCGCCGCCGCCGCTGCCGAGCGGCTCCAAAAGGAAGCCGCCGCCCGGAAGAAACTTGCCCCGAACCCGGTCCGGCAAGTCGGACGCGTACGCCTCAGGCAACGTAAAGTCTTCGTCGAGCGAGGCGAGAACAACCGCCCGCGCCGCTGAGCCGTGTTTCGCCGCTAAGACCGCCTGGAGAAAGACAAAGTCACGGCTCGAGGCCGGCCACGGCATCCGCCGCTCCATCCACATCACGCTCATCGAGTCGGCAAAGTGTCGCAGCTCGTGCATGCCCGTTGCGCCCGTGTCCCACGCGAGCCGCGCCTGCGGCTGGGTCAGCACTCGCTCCACCTCGTCGATGCCGACGCTCGTCGTCGCAACAGACCGCACGCACGCCAGCTCGCCGTGGTGTCCGCGAAAGACCTCGTTACGCCCATCGACATCTGTCGACACATCCTGAGACCACGGCGTCTCGTCGACCACCTGTCGCATCCGCCGCAGGGCTTCGTTTGCAAGCTCTGCGTACTTTGCCGGTGCTGCCCGAGTTCCGTTGACCGACGGTGGTGCTGCTCGCTCAAACGAGACAGACTTGCCACCGGTCCGATGACTGCTGCTTGCGCCCGCACGCCTGCCTCGGCCCCGCCCACGCGCTTGTCCGGTGTGACAACGGCCTCGGTGTACGAGAAGAACGGCGTCATGGCTGAGAGTGTGGTCCGCGGCACCACCGTGCCCGAGTCAACAAACTGCGCGAGTGAGGTAAGAACTCCAGGCAACGCGCCGTCGGGTCGGAAGAGCGGCACAATGGCCTGCGGCGGGTGCTCGCCAAGATCTGGCACGCACATCAGCGTCGCCACGCTTGTCGTCGGGTCATCTACAGACGGCGCAAGATGCAGTCCGTACATGGCCAGCTGGGCCCTCACCGCTGAGAACGAGATCTTTGAATCTTTCGCCGGGACGTTGACAGACACAATAGTGCACATGCACGCCCCGCCCTCGAGCGGCTCGTGCGACCGGAGCGCTACAAAGTCGCGCGAGCCGACAGGCCATGGCAGCGCCCACTCCATCCATACCAGGTCCACGTCCTCATCCACACTGCCCAGCGCCCGGTAGTCCTTGAGCGAGCTGTCCCAATCGAGCCGGGCCTCATCATTGCACCACAACGCAAGCACTTTGGCCGGCGTAGCCGCAATCGGCATCTGTGCCCGGAACATGTACGCTGAACGCGGATGTCCCCACACCACAAGCCGGCTATCAGTCCGGGACGCTGTGCCGCCGCTCCATCCGTCATCAGACATCCAGCGCGCCAGCGCCACGCGCGCCTCGCGGGCTACCTCACGCGCCCGCCCGCTCGCCCGCAGTTCAGCAACTACGCCCGGCACAAAGCCCTGGATGATAGCACTCGCACTCGGCCGCTCCGCCCCTCCAACAGGCACTAGCTCGCCCGGCATGGCCGGCTCGCCGTCGCCGCTCTGGCCGCCTGCTGATGAAAAGTCCGCCAGCTCATGTCGTGGCGCCCGCCGCCCGTCTGTGCGTACTGGCGTTGGTTGCGACGCGTTGGTGTTGAGCCGCGCCGCAGCCGCGGCAGGAGCATGCATCCTGCTTCCTGTCGCCACCCCGCGCTTCTTCCGCCGCTTCTTCCGCCGCTTGCTCTTGCCTTGCCCTGCACTCGCCTGCGAGATCCGAGCGCTTGCCACACCCATCGTCTCGCCGTACGGACCGGTGTTGATGGACGAGCTGCGAGCTCCTAGCAACGACGGTGTCTCGAGCAGCAGCTGGACTCGCGCAATGCGCAGAAGCAGCTTCCACAGCAGCGCAAGCTCGGCCGCCGGTACCACCACTCCAAACACCACCAGCGCAATCTCCAGTCCGCGCGCGCTTTCTGCAAGCCCCGAGCCCCAGGTCTCGCCGGCCCGTAGTCCGCGTGGCTGTGCTCCGTACCTGAACGCCGCAGCCTTGGCAACGGCGTAGCCCACGCTCACGAGTGCAACAACGACCGCCACACCCAACGACCGCGTCCCCCGGCGGACCCCGTACCATCCGCCCAGTACCACCGCCCGGCAACAGGCAAGGAGTACCAGGTCGCCCAGTGAAGCTGAGAACGAGAACGAGGTGAGCGCCCATGCCCAGAACTGGTCAGAGTGCGCACCCACAAACGCGCCCAGGACCGCAAAGAGCGCCGCAAAGCAAACCGCGTCGCACACGCTCATCGCCAAAATGCCCAGCTGCATAAACCGAACATCCGCGCGGAGCCATGGCAGCGAGTTGCCCTGCATGCTCTCCGCCGCCAGCCTTGCCACGCCGTACACGTCACGCGCCCAAACTGTAGCCGCCTCTGCTGCTCTGTGCTGCTCACCGAGCGCCGCCTCGACCACGTGTCGCTCGTGGAACCGTACCTCGCTCCTTCGACTGTACCTGGTCTGCTGCCTAGCCTGTCGCTTCCTCGCTCTTGCCCCTTCTACCCTGCTCGACCTCGACGCCACTCTGCGTCGGCAAGACGAGTGACTCCCCACACACACACAAACGCACACACACACACACACACACACACACACACACACACACACACACACACACACACACACACACACACACACACACACACACCAAGCTCACAGTATGATATGTTTATTGCAACGGCACGATTGCAGCTCTACCGCTTCCGTGGGGACACACGTTCGACCTCCTGATTCGAGTAGTACGTGTGCCCGTCGGGTGCAGGCTGATGCGGCGGGAGCATGGTGGCTGGGCACACATCGATCTCGTACGGCCGGTACGAGGTGTGCGCCATCGACTCGCCCTCGAACGGAATGTTGTTCGGCACGTACTCGCGCTGCGGACCCGACGCCCGCACCGGCGTAATCGGGAGAGGCACAAAGTCCGACCGGTTCGTCGTCGTGCCCTCAAACGGAATCGACTCGCGAGGCCGCCCGCTGTGCGCATCGCCATGCGGCTGCGAATGCGCGTACGCATCCTGCCCGTACTTGGGAAAGTCGGCATGCTGCGTCGACTCGCCCTCAAACGGCACCGAGTTGGGCACGTAGTCGCGCCGCGGGCCAGCGGCATGGACCGGCTCGATCTTGTGCGGCACAAAGTCGGCCCGGTTCGACGTCTCGCCGGTAAACGGAATGTGCTCGCGAGCAACCGGGCCGGAAGCACCGGCCGTCGACGGGCGGGCGTACGCGCCCTGCCCGTACTTGGGAAAGTCGGCGTGCTGCGTCGACTCGCCCTCAAACGGCACCGAGTTGGGCACGTAGTCGCGTCGCGGGCCGGCGGCGCGCATCGGCGTCACCGGATGCGCCACAAAATCGCGCCGCGACGTCGTCTCCCCCTCAAACGGAATCGACTCGCGAGCAGCGGCCATCGGCCCTCCCTGCGGTGCCGCGCGCGCGTACGCCGACGAGTCGTACCGCGGAAAGTCCTTGTGTGCCATCGACTCGCCCTCGAACGGAATGTTGTTCGGCACGTACTCGCGCTGCGGACCCGACGCCCGCACCGGCGTAATCGGGAGAGGCACAAAGTCCGACCGGTTCGTCGTCGTGCCCTCAAACGGAATCGACTCGCGAGGCCGCCCGCTGTGCGCATCGCCATGCGGCTGCGAATGCGCGTACGCATCCTGCCCGTACTTGGGAAAGTCGGCATGCTGCGTCGACTCGCCCTCAAACGGCACCGAGTTGGGCACGTAGTCGCGCCGCGGGCCAGCGGCATGGACCGGTTCGATCTTGTGCGGCACAAAGTCGGCCCGGTTCGACGTCTCGCCGGTAAACGGAATGTGCTCTCGCGGCGCCGCCGACAGTGCAGCGGGCAGGGCTTGGCATAGGCATCCTGCCCGTAGCGTGGAAAGTCGGCGTGCTGCGTCGACTCGCCCTCAAACGGCACCGAGTTGGGCACGTAGTCACGTCGCGGGCCGGCCTGCTGGCGGGCCGAGACCGGCCACGCCGGGTAGTCGCGCTTATACTCGGAGAGCAAGTCGTTGGGGTCGTAGTGGGTCGTCTGGTGGGTGGGCACGGGGCACTTGTGCATGCCACACGTGCACACGTTGCAAATGCACTGCTCCTCGCTCATCTTGGATGCTCGTCTACACTTGCTCGACCTGCTTCTGGGTCCTTGCGCCAGGTGCGGGGGTCGGGTGTCCTCCACTGTTGCCCCGCCGTTGTTGCCTCTCCCGCACCAACGGTCAGGCCCGACCCGCCGGGCAACAAACTTTCAACCGAATCATTCGTTTGCTGCCACCAGCCGCACGCCTCCGCCTCGATTTGTCGATTTGTCACTGCCGAACACTGCTGCCGAACGAACAACAATGCTGCCAAACGAACAGCAACGCTGCCAGGAAGGGCCCAAGCATTAGCTGCCGAGTGTGGCCTGGTGACCGAGTGGCCTTGCCCCCCCTCCCCCCTACTACGCACACACCTCCCCCCCCCCCCACCCCACCCACCCACCCACCCCCACCCACCCACCCACCACCACCACCTACCACACCTGCCCCGCCACCATGGTGTCCCGCCTCGACATAGGACGACACCCGCTCGACTACGGCTCGGACGCCGGGCACGTCGACAACCTGTTCTTCTACCTCTGGGCAAAGAACCCGGTGACCGGTGACGTCCCGCCGGGCGTTCTCCTTCCACACACGGCCGTCTTTCGCCGCTCCAAGCTCCACTCGTGGTTCTTCTCCTCGCGAAAGCCGCCGCATCACATCCTGCGCAAGCGGGCATCCGAGAGCACCATCGGCAACCTCGTCGAGGTCCTCGTCTCCGCCCACCGCGCCGGCACCTCGCGCTCGGGCATTGTCGCCTACATCGTGACCACCGAGGAGGGCGTGACAGGCGACCCGTTCACCTACGTCGAGTACCTGGACAAGCAGGCCGTCCTTGATCTTGCTTCGGGCCGCCGAGCCCTGCCCCGCTCCGGCTTCCTGCAGGCCTTTGTCGAGCCAAAGCACGGCTTCAACTCGACGCTCCGCTGCTTTCTCCGTCCGGGCTCGTTCACTGTCGAACGCCGTGACTCGGTCCACAAGATCGGCGAGCGCCGCATCCCCTTTGACGCCCGCGGCGCCACACACGAGGGCCAGGTCCACAACTCCATCCCGGTCCCATTCTCCAACTCGACCTTTATCCGCCACCTCCGCGCCATCTGCCTCGGCATCGTCCGGCACGTCCACGCCACCTCGCCGCAGCAGTACTCCATCTCGTCCATGGCCGTCAACCTCAAGCGGAATACAAAGGACCAGTTTGTCTTTCTCTACGCCTCCTCGGTTGTCGTCGAGTCGCGCATGAACAAGATCGGCCTCCCCGACGACATCTGGTCCGTCGCCCTCTCGCTTCGCGGCTCTTCCTCGCTTGTTGGCCAGCGCCTTACTGCCGCAGCATCACGCCAGCGCGCCTCGGCCAAAGGCTCGTTCACCGCCTCGGCCATGCTGGCCCGCAAGCGCAAGTCCGACCTCTCCGCCTGCCCGGGCTGCGGCTCACACATGCCGGCCTCGCTCATGTATCCAGTCACGTACAAGGCCGTCATCGCCCACTTTGACCTCTACCCTTCAGCTTACGCAGACTCGGACGCCTCGTTTCGTCGCACTGTCACATCACTCAACGCTTCGACTGTCTCGCGGGTCGCCTCGGGCACAACCTCGCTCCTCACCCGTCTCGACAAGCCGGCTGTCAAGGCCAACTCACCCAAGGCCAACAACTCGAGCGTCCCGCCACTTCTCAAACGGGTCATGAGCACCCGCATGTCAGACACTGAGTTTGCTCTGCACCGCTCAAACCCGGCCTTTCTCGCCCGCTCGCTCGCCGTCTGCGAAGCATGCTGTCTCGACATCACAGAGTCGGCCATGCGCCATCTCGGCAAGGTGCCGCAGCCGTACGTCATGGACATGGCCGCCCGCCGCCGCGACGTCATCCATGGCCTCGTTGTCAAGACCCGCTCGCGACACTCGGCTCACAAGCGGAGAACCGCTGCTGTCCGTGACCGCCGCACCACTTCGCACTCGCTGTCCACAAAACCGCCGCCGCGCCGCCGCCGCCAGGCCCGCTCCCTCACTCCGATTGCACGCGACGCCTCCTCGCCGCAGCACTACTACCAGGATATCACCGATGAGTTCTCACGCCGGGAAGCCTCCCGCCGCTCCGAAAACGCCGCCGCCCGGAAGCTCACACGCATCATGCTCCTCGCTGAACACAACACAACTGACTCGGACGAAGACGACGTTGCCAGTGGCGGCTCAGACTCTCCCGACTCGACCGCCGCCCGCCTCCTCCGCCGTCTCAACTCGACCAACTTGCACCCATCGCTCGTCGACCTCGACACATCCTCATCATCAGCCACCCTTGCCCTCCGCACCAGCAACTCTCCTGACTCGCCCTCAAAATTGCCTGCCTCGTCAGATCCCGTCCCGACTGTTATTCCGTCGCGCATCCGCAGTGGCCGCCGCCCGTCGCTGGCCCAGCTCGTTGTTCCAGTCAACCTCTCCACCCCGGCCTCGTCGTCGTCATCGTCGTCATCGTCGTCATCAGCCTCGTCCTCGCCAGACCCATCTCCATCGTCGTCACCGTCGCACCGAGCCGAGACCCTTGACGAGCTTGCTGCCGACACCTCGATCTAACTTTAATTCCTAGTCCAGACCCTCGACCTCGGCGCGGAGCCGTGCAATCACGTCCTCCGGCATCTCATCGGGCTCCTCCACCGCCGCATCAAGCACAGCCTTGTGTGCAAGGTACTTGCGCCGCTCCTCGGCCTGTGACGGATGAATGCCAAGGTGGGTGAGGTAGACCTGAAGCTTGAGCGCCGGCACGCGAGTGTATGACGCAATGAACTGGAGCACCGCATGGAACTCGGGCTCGAGTGCCACATCCTCAAACGGCGCCTCGCTCAGCTCGTCGGCCGCCCGCATGTAGAACTGGTTGTTGAGCATGGCTCCGCTGCTGCCGTCGAGGATCAGCCGCTCCAGCGCGCTGATGTACTTTTGCAGCCACGATGAGACGTACACGCCCGACATGGCCATGTACTTGAGGAGGCCCTGATGAAACGCGCCCCACTCACGCTCGCGCTGGCTATCTTCCACACTCGTCGCCGCCCGTTTCCACACCGAGTCGACCCGCGCACCCTGCGCTGTCGCCGCCCTTGCGTACCGCGCCGCCCGACTCGCAGCCTCAGTCGACTGGACAATAGCCTCATTGAGCTGGTCCTCGTGCGCCAGCACCCGTCGCCGATCCACCAGCCGCTCCTCTAGCGCTGCCGCAAGCTCAGCCGTCGCCACAATGTTGACCTCTTCAAACTCGCGCCGCCACGCATCGACACGGAGCTCCTGGCCCATGTGCCGAAAGTACTTACCCGGCACCATCGTCCGAGCCGCAGGCACGATGACATGGTCGGCAAGGTCACGCAAATGCTCCGGATTCGCCAGCAGCACCTCCCGCTCTGTGATGAGCAGCTGCTCACCAGTCTCTTTGTCCATGTCATCAATAGAGATCGCATGCAGTGACGCTAACGACTCGTACTGCGCAAGGCTCTCCGCCACCTCGGCCTCGGACGCAAAGCCCTTGGTCGCCACAAGATCCGCCAACGACATCGAGAGCATCGGGTTCTCCGGCGAGGACGGCCGGTGGCTCTTCTTCATCGGCGACACCACTCGCTGCTCGTACTGCGCCAGCTTGCTCGTAAAACTCTCCAGCACCTCACCCTCAGCCTCTAGCGTCTTGCCCAGCGACTGCGCCAGCGCGCCCTGGGCCCCGTGCCTGTCGGCCCAAAAGTCTTGCTGCGAAATCGTCGACCGCGACATCGACTCCACCACTGTCCCCGTCGACGAGTTGGACGAGCCATCCAAGCTAGAACTAGAGCCAGGGCCAGAGTCTAATCCCAGGCCCAAGTTCAAGCCAGAGCCAGAGCTAGAGTTGGGGCTCAAAGGCGACGCTGACCCCGAAGACCGTGTCCACGATCTCGACCTCGCTCTCGACCCTGATTTCGAATGCAGCGACGTCTGGACACGGAGGGAGCTGATGCTACCCTCTTGAGCGGCGTTCTCGGCCCTGTTCTTGCCCTTGCCCTTGCCCTTGCCCTTGCCCTTGCCCTTGCCCTTGTCTCTCCCTCTGCCTTTGTCCTTCTCAGACGATCCGAGCCGGCGTGAGCGCGAGCGCCGTCCCTTGCTGGACTCGGGGCTGTCTTGGCCCGCCGCGGCCGCTCCTTCGTCGTCCTTGGCCACGACAACTTCAGGCGGGGGGAGAGGCGTGCTTGCCTTGCGGGTGTACGGAATAACTGGCACACGCTGCGACCAGGGCCGGGTCGGTGCCGCTGCCGTCGCCGGCCTAGCCGAGCCGACAAACCGCTGCGACTGGAGCGCCACTTGCCGCTTGCGCATCGCCGACGCCGAGCCGGTCCGCAACTTTTGCGGCGATGCCTTGCGAGCGAGAGAGTCCTTGCGAGTCGATGTCCACGGCCGGGCGTAGCCCTGGCGCGTGCTTGCCCGGCGCTTCTGCAGCGTCTTTTTGGCCGTCTTGGGCCGCGGGACAGGAACCGAGGTGCTCGGCCTCGGCTGGCGCAAACGCGCAGCTGTGGCAGGCCGCTGCCTCGTCCGCACGCTGGAAATCGAGTTGGTTCGCGATCGCGCCCGCTGCCTTGCCTTCTCGCGCTTGGCGGCCGTCTTGGCCTCGACCACTGCCGTCACCCGCTTGTTCGTCAGCGCCGTCGCCGTGTTGGCACGCAGCTGAGAACCAAGCCACGCCGACCGCATGTCGTCAGCGGCAGTGTGGTCGCCGCCGTAGTAGCCCGCCACAGTCGCTGGCCGCGCAGGCATGCCGTTCTTTTCCGTCCGGCTACCGGCCCGCGACGCAGCACCCGTTTGCGACCGCAACCGCGCCACATCGGCCTGTCGCAGCACTGGCCGTGGAAACGAGACAAACTCGGACGGCGTGACGCCCGACTTGGACGCAGACGGTCCCTTGAGCGAGACCGAGGCCGAAGTCGGCGCAAGGTAGTCGTACATGCCGGCATTCTCGTGAGCCGCGTACGAGACGTCGACGTCGGTCTCCAGCAGCGCACGCGCAAACTTGAGCATTCGCGCCTCGTCATCCCCGTCGCCCACAAGCGTGACATCTTCGTACGCGTCTAGCCAGGTCTTAGATCGCAACAGTCGCCGCCGCTCGGTTGGCGCCCGAGGCAGCTGGACCTCCTCGGCCTTGAGAGCTTCGGCAAACTCGCGCTGGACAGCCTGCAGCGCCTGCAGTGACGCTTGCATGCCGAGCAGAGTCGACGACTCTTCATCCAGCATCTCCAGAGCGCTCGAGTCAACCTCACGCCGCCGCACCGGACCCGACGCCTGCTGACCCGACTTACCGCGACGGTCGCGCCGCCGGGTACCCAATCGCCCGGCAATGCCCTCGTCAGAGTCAGAGTCGGACTCTGAGTCTCCGAGAAGCGCCACCGTGTACGCATGAGCGGCTTCAGACTCTTTCTGTACCGTCCGCCGCCGCCGCGGCGGCAGCGGCACCTTCAGCATCGCCGCCGCAGAGAGGGCGGCGCCGGCACCAAACTGATTGTAATTGCGCTTCTTGTGCGCAAGCTTGCGCATCGGCGGTTCGACCTTTTCGCCCAACAGAGACGACGCCAGCCGCGCCCGCCGCACCTCGGCCTCCACCCGCGCATACCGTCCGGCGAGCTTGGCCGCCCGCACGTTGCCTTTGATGCGCTGCCGCGCGGCGAGCCGATCAACCGCTGCTGCCGACTCGCGCAGCGCCGCTGCCCTCAGATCCAGAAAGTCCTCGGTTCCTTCCTCGAACGCGGCCTCGGCGTTGGAGATCGATGGCACTGCAACTGGCGGAATCTTGGCCCACACATTGATCGGCTCCAGCTTGTTTTCGCCGTTTGCCCATGCCGCCACAGGCTCCACAAGCCCAGGCTGTCTACGCCCGACCGTTCGGAAGGGAGAGAACCCGCTTCGCTCGCCCGAGCCGTCGCCGCCACCCAGCCCGTCGCCGTCCCCAGGCCTTAGCCCCGTCCCAGCCACGGCCATGGCAATCTGCGACGAAGTCATGGCAGGCGGCGGCAGGGAGGGTGAGGTGTTGGTTGCGAGAATGAGCGGTGGTGGCGGTGGCAGTGGTTGGGGAAGGCACCAGCAGCTGCAACGGAGAGCGATCGGGACAACCAGCGACGGCCACGGCAGCCCGTCAGACTCAACTCGAACCGCAACGGCAGACATGGCAGCGCCGAGGTCGTTCTACCAGGGTGGTGGGGCTACTGTCGCCAACGCCATGCTGGCAAACACTGTGGCGGTATGGAACCTGCCACTCCCCTCCTCCTTCCCTTCCTCCCCCCCCCCCCCCCCCCGGCCCCCCCCATATGCCGTCACGCGCCATGCGCCCCAGACCGTTGGGACATTCCCTTCACCACCCCACACTCACTCGCACCCCGATCGAATCCCTCTCCCCACTCGCCCTCAGGAGAACAACCGCATCGCAGACGCACAGGCCCATGCCCAGCAGTACGTCCTCTTCCTCCTCCTCCTCCTCCCCCCTTCTCCCTCTCTCTCCCCACCATTCCCTCCCCGTTCCTCTCCCCCCTCCGGCTACTACTACACTCACCCCCTCCCCGCCGCACACACAGGATCCAACGCGCAGAGACAGAGACACTGTGGCGGTCAAAGCTTGATGTGGGGCTGCATGGGCGGACCCAGCGGGCTCAGGCAGCCATGCGCGAAGACGAGGTGAGCCTTGCCCGGAAGGAGCTGCTCATTCTGCGCAGGCGCGAGCTGAAAGAGCGCCTCGCCCGCGACGCTGCCGAACAGGAGGCTGCCCTGGCTCGCAACGGCCTCTCCATTTACCACGGTGTTGACGGTCTCGAGTAGACCGGGCTGGTGATGGTGCGCCGTGGGGCAGATGCACGACCCCCCAGGCTGCGCGCTGTGCACACCTCAGGCGATGAAGGGAATGCCCGACGGGACGGTCTTCCGGAACTTGATGTAGTCCTCGTGGAAGAACTCGATGAGCTGCTCCTCCTCGTCAGGAATGCGGTCTGCGAAAAAGAACCACGAGGCGACGGCAAAGCCGATGATGCACACCGGGTTGACGAGAACAACCTGGGTGGCGATGGACCAGTAGAAGAAGCCGACGTACGATGGGTGGCGGCAGATCGAGTAAATGCCTGAGGTGACCAAGACGTGCTCGTCGCGCTTCTCGTACGCCACCAGATGGGTGAACGAGACGCCGGCGCTCCACATGGCGTACGTCCGCAGCGCCTGGCCGGCAACAACGACCGCAAAGCCGAGCAGAGTCACCGGCCACAGGGCCTTGAGCCATGGCGCGAGCCAGAGCTCGAGAACAAACTCCAGCCACGAGGCGCCCATGGCTGTCCAGAACGCTTTGGAGTGGTTGATGAGGAACGAGTCCACAGAGAGCGTGTCTGGGTGGAACAGCGCCGTCAGCGAGTACTCGAGGGCGTGGAAAGTGCCCAGCGCGAGCAGGTAGAGGCCGAGCGGGACGACGCCGAGCCCACCGCCAGAGAACAGGACCAGGCACGCGCCCATACCCACAAGCAGGCCCAGCGCAAACGCATGTGCCGCCGCAAGCGCAGGCCCGCGCGGCCGGAACGCAGGATTCCCCTTGATCTGCTTCAACACCTTGCCCGCCACTCCGCCCAATCCGGCAATTGCTGCCATAGTGTCTCTCCCCAAATGAGTCGAGTCTTTACCACAACACTCACACACCCACCCGATACACACACCCGCCCGGCGCACACGCCCGCCCGGCGCACACGCCCCGCCCTTACACCACACCTGCAAGCCAGACAAGCACGCGACTCGCCTGCTGTCGCGCCGAAAGAAGAAACGTGCCAGCATCCAGACCGGGCTCCTTCCCAGCATCGTCCAAACCGCCCTCACCAGGCCCATCCTGACGAGCCTCTTGTGCTCCGCCGTTGTCCTCGGCCAGAGCTGCCAGTTGCTCGTCACGGCACTGCGCGAGCACGCTTTTGGCCCGATCAAGCTCGCCCAGCGCGAGCTCCAACTCGTTGGCCATCCTCGCCTCGTACGCCACCTGCTCCGGCGGCGCGCCCTCGGGATAGGAACGGATGAGCGCAAGCGTGCTCTCGCACTGGCTTGCAGCCTCGTAAACCGCTCGGATCTGGTCGTTGAAAAACTCAGAGAGCAGCGAGCGGACCGTCGCCAGCTCGCGCCCGGCCTTGGATTCGAGCCCGCCGGCACCTGCCGCTGCGCCCGCTGCCACCCCGGACGCTGCAGCCAGAGACACCATCGCCGACGGCCGCATGCCCATCGCCTCGATGTGCGCCGCAAGCGTCTTGCCGAGTTCTTCCTGCCTTGCGGCCCTGCCCTCGGCACCCATGGCGCTCTCCACTCCGGCCGCAAACGCTGTCAGCGTCCGCGCAGCCCGCAGCGGGCGGACCAGCTCAGGCACCGGCCCAGCCGTCAGTGGGCGCGCCAGACCCTCCGCATCAATAAAGTGCGACCACATAACACTGTCTGCCGCATCTCCGCCCATGCCCTTGCCGTCCAGTCCGTCGCCAGTCGCCTTTGCTGTCCCACCGCTCGAGGCCGCACCAGACGCGTCACGCAGCCCGCTGACGCCACCACGCCCAGCCACGCTCGGCCTACCCGCCGCCCACTGCAGGCCACTAGCCCCGCGCCTACGACCACCACCACCACCAGCAGCAGCAGCAGCAACAGCCATACGCCCGCTACATGCCCGCCACCATACGCCACCGACCGCTCGCAGCATCCGTCCGTCGGCTAGCCCACAAGAGCTGCGACAGAGACAGGTGACCGACCAGCCGACTCGCCACACATGCCACACGCCAGCCACCTCTCCCTCTCGCCATGCCCTGGCTCTGTCCCGTGTGCGACGTGTACAACACCGCCGGCCCGCCAGCCCATTGTCTCTCCTGCGACGCTCCGCACCCGGGTGCTGCGGCCGCCGTCGCTGCTGCTGCCGAAGACAGGGCGGCGGCGGCGGCGGCGTCGGCAGCCCGCCGGCGCGATCTGCCTGGCCAGGCTCTCGGCCCGCCGTGGACGTGCCCCTGCTGCGGCGAAGACAATGCCGATGGCTTTGTCTGTGCTGCCTGCGCCTTCAAGAAGCCCTCGCAGACCTTTGCTCCCGCTGATCCGGCCGGGGGCTCAGCCGTCGTCCTTGCTGATGCCGCACGCCGCGGCGAGCTGCTGCCATGGATATGCGCTGTGTGCTCGGCGTACAATGTGCCTGTGGCCGGCGGCGATGGTCACGTGCTCCCGAGCGACACCGCATGCTCCATATGCACCGCACCACGCGCGTCTGAGAGCCAGCCACTTGAGCAGCCTGGCGATGGTGAGCGCTGGATCTGTCTCACCTGCTCCTGTACCAACGCTCCCGCCGATACCGAGTGCGTGGCCTGTGGCGACGAGCGAGTGGCCGGCTCGCGCACTGAGCGCGCTCAGGCCATGGCCGCCTCCTCTTCGCTCACTGCTGCCCAGGATGCCGAGCCGTGGATTTGTGCTTCCTGTCTCCACTACAACGTTGGCGGTCGTGTTGGCTGCGAGCGCTGTGCCGCTGACCGCGTCCGCGTCCGCTCCAACGTCGATCCGGCAACCGAACTCGAGACCGAGTTTGAAGTCCGCCGCGCCCTGGCCAAGGCCAAGACCTCCCGCCGCGCCCGCCGACCTTGGTCGTGTCCAGCCTGTGGCCACGTGTCGACTGATCCTATCTGCGCCGCCTGCGGCACGCTCCGTGTCGACGGCGAGGCCCGCACCGACTCACTCCCTCCAGGCTACTGGGACACATAGCGCCCTGATTTACTGCGACGACGAGAAGAACGACTCGGAGCCGGAGCATGCGCCCGAGTCTGAGCCAAGTTGCGGAAGCATACCGGCCGGCGCAGAGTAGGCGTGCGGCGAGTTCGGCGAGAGCGGCTCGACCGGCTTCGCCTCATGGTGCATCTCCCCCGACCTCGTTTCCCTTAGCTTGCGGCTCTCCGATGAGGACCAGGAGAACGAGGAGTCGCCGGATGCCTCGTCGTCATGCATTGCCAACACCTCGCGCGCGGTCTCTGCGGCTTTTGAAGCTGCGTGCGCCATGGCGTCCTCCGAGCTGACTCGCAGGAACTCTGAGTCGACTGCAGATGCGTCGAGCTCGGGTGTGTCTGCCGCCACCGGGCTCTTGGCAGGCACGGCTCTCCGCCGCTTACGCCGCTTGCGGACAACTGCCTTGCCGTTCAACGACGAGTCGAGCGGCGGGCCCATGTACGGCGCCTCATCGGTGGTCGCGCCCGCAGACGCTTTTCCATGGCGGCGACCTCCCGGCGGCGACGGCGACCGAAACGTCTCACGCGGCGGGCGCGCTACCGAACTCGGTGCGCTCACCGTCCGAGACCGGCTCACAGCCCGCCGCTGCCAGTACAGTGCCGCAGACGTCAGCGGCGCCTCCTGCTGCGAGATAAAAATGATTTCGACTTCGGGCAGAAACGAAACGTGCCGGTTGCGGAGCTTCTCCTCTTCCACACGGATCTCCGAGACACATGACAACAGTGCCTTGGCGTCGCTCGCCGACAAAAGGCGGATCGAGAGTGTTTTGATCCGCCCAAACAAATCGGCCGTCGTCACCGCAAACACCTGCGCTTCAACTTTGAACGACACAAACTGCTCGATTGCGAGTGGCGTCGCCACCACCTCGGCGTTGCTCATCTTCATCAGCGTGAACATGCCGTTCTGGATGGTGACCAGCGCCTGGGTCTCGTCAGCAGCGTCCACACACACAAACTTGGCCATCCGCCCGCGCCGCCACGGCACACTCTTGTCGCCAATCGAGCAAGTCTCCCGCGGCGACGAGCTCGCGCTTGACGCTGCGCTCGAGTTGGTCTGCACGCGAAGAGCCGGCCCGCCCGAAGTCGACTGTGCTCGCCGCTTGCGCCGCACCCGGTGCTGCGCTGCGCTCATCCGCAGCCCGCCCACGTCGATAGACGCCCGTTTCGACTTGGCCATCCCAGCATCGGCTGACTCCGGCCGCTTACTGCCTCCGCCCTTTGTGCAGCCCTTTGCTCTGCCGTCTGTGCCTGTCTTGTGACCAGCAAGCTCAGCACCTGCCGTCTTTGCCAGCACATCGTCCAGTCCCGGAGACGGAAGTGACAACCGCCGAAGCGACGCGCTTGCGTGCGCCGCCGAGTCGGACGACCATCCGCTGGCCTCGCCCGAATCACCGCCTTGGGCCACCACCTGCACATCCAGCCCTGCACCCATCCCGTCCGACGCATCGGGCACGTCTGCATCGTCCGCTCCCTGAAAGTCGGTCGCCACAGGCGAGGTCGTCCGTGAAACCGGCGCCGATCGCAGGGCAAGCCTGTTGCTCCTGTCGCCATCGCTACCGCGGCAACTGCCGACTGCAGGACTCCGTCTCGACGTCGACGTCGACGTCGACCGCGACCGCGACCGCGACCTTCGCCGCCGCACTCTGCGCGGCCCGGTCCGCGGCCGTCCGTCCGCTGATCCAGCCCGTGCCGCCGGAGGCGTGCCAGGCACCGAGAGCAGACCCGGCGAGCCGGTCAACGAGCCCGGTGACCCGTCGACGCTTGTCGTCACGCCTGACACCCGCACGGCAATACGCTTCGATGCCCTTGCCCGCCCACTCCCACGCTGCGACGATTTCGCAATGATGTGTGCGCTCGGTGTCACAACCTCGGCCTTGTCACCGGTCTCTAACACTGTCTCGGTCTCAGGGCCCTCGTCGGCGATGTCGGACAGACCTCCCGGGCCGCCCTCCACCTCCTCCATGCTCACCACCGGCAAGCTGGACGCAGACCTGTGTCGGCGATGTCGCCGCACACTCTGTACCTTCCCGTGCATGTGCGCACCGTGAGTGTGGGTTTGGGGAAAGACGGAGAAGGTGAGGGGGGGGGGGGGGGAGGAGGAGGGAGGACGGCAGTACCCTTGCCGAGTCCTCCTGACCCATGGCAGAAGTCTGTCCGTCTGTCTGTCCCGCCCGCACCAACATAGCACCACACACAGCCGCACAAGGGTTATGCACAGCACCAGCAGCTGCACCAGAAGACTACACGCACACACAAACACACACACACACACACACACACACACACCCAATCCTACCAAACACCCAACACACCCGCCTGAAACCACCCGTACCGCTGTCGACATCCCCGCCACGTCAAGTGCGCTACCGTCGACCGAAGTGCCCTTGCCACCCAACATCACCCAAGTTTGCCCACGCACCGCCACGCCACGCCATGCCATGCCATGCCAGGCCACACCACATGCCACATGCCACAGCCGCAAATCGAGTGAGCGAGCCACCCAAACAAAGAGCCACAGCGAATGGCACAATAGCTCGAGAAGATAGATAGCGAGCTCACTCTGCGACCGACTCACCACGCAGACAACCATACACACCTCACACAATCACAGACACAACTTCACCACACAACCTCACAACCACACAACCGCTGCATACTGCTCTTCGCTATGGGTGGGGGCGCCGGACTTGTGCTCGGCCTTTGCATTCTCGTTCTGCTTGCTGCTCCTCCCCACTCGGCTGCCCACCCCGTCGCCTGCCCGGGACTCGTACGCGCCGCTGATCCGGCTGCCACCGAAGCATACGTGATCGCCGGCATGGGAGAGGAGGTCCTGGTGTGTCTTGAGGATGCGGTGCAGGAATGGTTTGCGTCAGAGTCGGCTGGATACCAGCTCAACCACCTCGCCACCATGTACACCATCGCGGGACACCTGCCGGCCGCCGTCCAGACCGCCACTGCTGTCCTCGGCTTTGTCGCCCCTGACCTCGCCACCATCCCCGACATCACCGCGCTTGTCGACTACGTCTATGACGGCGTCGAGCAACCGCTCGATGACGACAGTGCGCTTGGCTCGTCAGCCGCGTTGGTGGAGCCCGAGTTCCCCATCGAGCTGGCCGCAGACGCGCTCTGCATCCTCTCCGATGTCGCCTCGGCCGCTCTCCAGCACGTGCGGGCACTGCGCCTTGCGCGACGTGCACTTGCGATCAGCCCCGACTCGTATGATGCCTGCCTTCGCGTCGCGGGGCGGTCTCTGGATGCTGGCTTTCCCGAAGACACGCTGGCTCTGGTCAACGACTGTATGCCTCCGCCTACCGCCTCTCCCGCGCATGCTGCTCTCCGCCACACCGTTGCCGGCGACGCCGCACTCAAGCTGGAACGCTGGTCCGAAGCTGTTGATGCACATCTGGCTGCGCTCAGCTCCGATCCGGCCAACTCGGACCTCAAGTGGAACCTGCTTTCTGCTACGTTCAGGCTGGCATCGTCAACCGTGTCTGGCATCGCGCTCTCGTCCAACGCCATTGACCCGGATCTCGCTGCAGAGCTGAGCGCGGCAGCTCGCTTGCTGCACGCCAATGGAGCGACGGCGACTGGCCTCGAGCTGTTGGCCATTGCGGTGCGGCTGCCGCGGTCGTCAGTCAAGGTCAAGCTCGCCGCCTACGCCGCCATGGCGTCGCTCCAGCTCGAATCGGGCGCCAACGAAGCTGCTCTCTCGAGTCTAGAGACCGGCATTTCCATTGCGCCCAAGTCACCTGTCGCACACGCTCACTTGGCGGTGGCACTGGCCGATGCCGGTGATCCTCGCGCGGCGCTCGAGGCCTTTGCCACCGCCCGGCGCCTGATCACCGCCCGCGACCAGCTCTCATTTGCGCAGTACGAGAAGCTCGGCCTTGTGGCCCACACCAGCGGTGCCTTTGAGCTCGCCGGTGCAGCATTTCGCAACGCCTCGCGCCTTGCACCGACTACGCCGCGGGCCTTTATCAACTGTGGTGTCTCGTACGCCCGCGCCGATCAGCTTCGCGCGGCGCTAGCCTGCTTCCAGCGTGCACACGCTCTCGACCGGCACGACGTCGATGTAGTGCTTGAGACAGCAAGTCTGGCTGCACGTCTCAACCGCTCGTCAGCAGCCATTCTCTACACCCGCGGCATCACTATTCTTGGCCATCGCATCTGGCCGCTGTCGCGTGCCACCCAGGGCCACAAGCAATTCCCATCCGAGGTTATTACTTACGCCAAGCTGCGGCGGGGCCTGGCGCGATGGCACGCCGAGCGCTCTGGTGAAGAGCACCTTGCCCTCGCGTCGTACAAGCTTGCTTTTGACGTGCTGCAAGGCCGCAACTGGCCGCTGGCACTCGAGTACGGCCGCTTGCTTGCTAGAGACGACACGCTTGCGGTTGCTGAACTTCGCTTGCTGATGGCCCGTGTTCAGCCTGTCGCGCCGGTGGCAGAGTTTGCGGCGCTCAACACACTGCTGGCACTCGCGCCGCCGCCATCGCCCCTGCCGTCGCTCTCGTGGCGGTCGGCTCTAGCCAACCTACAAATCGGCTGCCAAGCCGCATGCAACGTGACGGCTGATTTCGACGAGCTGAGCGCGACGATCAAGGCAGCGCGCCGTGCAGAAGCCCACATGCAGGCACTCCTCGCCCATGCTACCGCTGCAGAGAGTGCCAAGGCCGAGATCGAGGCCTCGCTGAATGCCGAGAATGATCCCACTCGTCGTGCGTACATTCAGTCTGCCCTGCACGATGCCACCATGACCGCGCAGCAGGCGAGCGCCACCGTCGCCGCTGCTGAAGCTGCGGCATCCGCCAATGAGCGGCTTGTCGCCGACACTCTGGCAGAGCTTGCTCCCCGTGTCATCCGTAAGCTGCTGGATGCGTGGTCATCGGCGTGACGGCTTGGTCGGCGTCCGGAGCGATGCAAGCAGCGTACGCGGGTCCAGAATAGCATCGACGATTTCGTCGTCGCCATCGCCATCCTCGGCCGTGTTTTTGAGCATGGCCTCGATGGCTTCGTGGCGCGAGTACGAACGCTTCCGCTCGTTGTCGGCGCGGTGGCGCCTTCGCAAGTTGCTGATCGAGCGTGACATGAGGGCTTCGGCGGCGGCGTCGTGCTTGGCTTTGGCCTCGCGCCAGGTAGTCACGCCGCGCTTGAAGCGGTGGAGGAAGGAGAAGAGTGTGTCGAAAAGCGACTCGGGTGCGACGGATCGCGGATCCTCGCCCAGCGACGTCGCAAGCTCGGCAAACTCCTTCTGAATGCTCTCCAAAAGTGGCTCCAGCTTGGCAATGGCTTCACCGTGCTCGTCGACAAAGTCGAACATGATGCCCTCAAACGGCTCGCCCATGTCGCCGCGCTCCAGATGGGCCTCCAGTGCCGCAAATGAGCGGCGCAGCTGCTCCAGCTCGAGTGTCACGCGCTCGGTCGAGACGGCTGCTGCAACGTCAACGGCCTCCAGCGCCGCCGGCAGATCGAGCAATACCTCGAGATCGGGCGACGAGCCGATGACGTCGATGACATAGTCGAGCGCGTTCTCCGGGCCATCGCCACTTCGCGCGTTCTTGGCCCTTGTCCTGGCTAGCACCAGCAGCGAGTCAAGCTGGATGGACGTCTGGTTGCCGCGGAACGAGCCACGATTCATGTAGTTGGCGACCGCCAACACAAGCGCCATTAACTTGCGGAGCCCATCTGAAGTGGTCACATCGCGAATAGCCTTGATCATGGCATCCAGATCGCCCTGAACCGACGCCAGTTGCTCGGGCAGCTCGCGCTTCAGAATAAAGGCGTCAATACGGTCGCTCAGCCGCGGAAGCGAGCTCAACTCCTTGAGAATGGCGTCGGCAGCATGGAGTTTGGTCCCGCTCTCGCTCACCGCTGACTCACGCGCCAACGCAGCCGCTTCCTCTGCCGTCGGCACCAGCTTGAGTAGCATCTTGGTTTGGTCCTCGGTCAGCCGCGTCTCGTCGAGGTTCAGAATTATGTCCTTGATCTGGCTCGCTGAGAGCTTGAGGAACTTTTGCGCAATGCACACAGCCCGCTGGCGCTTGGCCGACAGGACCGAACGGGCAGCCGGCGTAGGCGACATCGACCGACTCGAGCCAACAGAGCTAACCGATGACCGCCGGTCCAAGCTCGCTGTCGACGCACCCGAGTTGACCCGCGAGCCAAAGAGCTGGTGGATCTCGGGCAGCTTGAGATGCTGGTACATCTCGCCCACAATGTCGTCCTGACTCCAGAACGAGCGCACAAGCCGCTTTTTGGGAAGCCCCTTGACGTCCAACGGCATGAGCTTGCCATCCAGCCCGCGTGGAACTTCGGGCAAGTCACGAATGGCTGACGGCACCACCGTCGGTACCGACTTGCCACGGGTAAGTCCAGGCGGCGGCGGCGGTGGCGGTCCACTGCCGGGCGGTGGCGGAGCCGGCGGCGGAGCCGGCGACGGAATAAGAATCGACGGCGATGATGCCGCCAGCGATGGGCCCTGCAAATCGCCGACAAGAAGTCGAACCGAGTCGTCGTCGCCATCGACTTCGGAGCCGCCACGCAACTCCTCTGGGACGGCAGTCTCTGCCGCGGCGCGCTGCTTCTTAAACTTGGCAAACGCTGCCTGGGCAGCCACCAGCTCATCGCGGCTGGCGGCCAGCTCCTGAGCAAGCTTGGAGCACTTTGAACACTCGCCGTCGGGCCCGCTTCCGGCGCCACTGATGAGGGCGGTGACATGGTCAATGAGCGTAGGCGTGTCGTCGACGTTATACGGCTCGAGATTAAAATGCGTACAGAGGACGGTGCGGATCTCGACAAGCTTGAGGTCCTTCATCATCCGGATTTTGGTCCGGTACCGCTCGAGCTTAGCGGCGAGCTGTTCGCTGAGCTCGCGGAGGCGATCAGTCTCGTCTTTGGCGGCTGCAAGCGCCTCCTGGGTTGCGGCCAGCTCCGCAGCGACTGCGGACGGACCGGCCGCCTGCGTGCTCGACGACGACGCGTCTTGCTCCCACATCAGTTCACGAAGACGCGACTTGAGCAGCTGATTGACCTGGACCTTCTTCCGCAGCTTGTTCTCCAGCGCCTCGACCCTGGCATCGTTACCCGACTTGAGCTCCTTAACCTCCAGCTTATACTCGTGTAGCACAGCCTTGGTGTTGCTCAGCTTGGCCTTGAGCTTGGTGATGACGACTCGCGCCCGCTCGATGTCCAAGCCCTCGAGGGCACGATCGACTGCGAGAGCGTAGGCATCGTCCGGCTCTGGCGGCGCGGTCACCTGCTCATGCTGCGGCACATCGATGGCGGTCAGGTGCTTGGGCTTTGTGAACAGGCCATGATCCGGAGCGCACACAAAATACACAGTGCCGTCGACCGAGCCATTGTTCTTCCCGTCAGGCGTCTCCAGCTCCACCCCGATGACGGGGCGAGCATCGGTGAAGGGCCGGTCGTCGCCGACGTACCGCACCACGCCACGCAATAGACCCTTGTACAGCACAGCCTGGCCCACAGCCACCCCAGACTCTGCCACAGCCATGGAAGGGTAGTGAGATTGGGATTGGGGTAGTGGGGTAGTGGGGTAGTGGGGGCGGGGGGGGGGGGGGGAGGGAGTAGGTAGGAACGGTACGGAA